TTTACAGAATAAACAAAGTGGAACACTGAGACTCGGACTGAAGCCAGCGAGGAGTGAAGGTCAGTGTAGGTCCAGAGACAACAGTAAAGAACACAGAGGCCCTTCATCTGCCCCCAGGACTGTGGGCCAAGGTTTAGGAAGAGAAAACCACCCCATCAGGAAGACTGCCAAGGAGAATTAAATAAATGTGCAAGCCTGCTCACGTAACCATGGTCAGAGGCGATGATACAGCTTTAGAAATAAAACACAGATACTGATTAAGGTTTAAGAGAAAACAGGACTCATGAACTCTAGGATCAAGAGCCCCAATATAAAGCATGTTTCCATATTTATTAGCCTCTGCATTCCACAAAACTTCCCAGGAAAGCATACATGAAACATCTAAGGAATGTTTGATCTTTTAAGCCCAGGAACATTTCCTGGGGAACATCCTCAAAAACAGATACATTATTTAGCTTCTTCAATAACCCGAGAGCACCAAACTGAGTCTGAGTAATCACATCTGGGCATCGCGTTCTACGTCAGTGTGCCGACATATTACGCTTGTCATGAGTCACTAGTGGTGTGCCGCTTCCTCATGCCATGGTCCAGACGTGACTCTCTTCCTCATGGCTAGCTCTCGAGTGGTCTCCAACAGAGAAAGAAGCTGCAATGGTTATTTTTGGCAAGAGGGAGGCTCAGTCATAAGGCTTTTCTCTCCAGATCTAGAAGAGAGCTGGCATTTTTTATTTGGTATGACTCTCACTCTGTTTTCTTGAGGCAGCATTTGCAGCTGTTTGAATCAACAAATATTTGCCACTGCTTCCACAAACCATAGTCTATGTGCATCCTCCTACTGGGAATGCCAACCAATGATATTTTTGATACTGAAGCTCAAAGGTGAGGCCTACCATCCTTTGTAGTAGGCTGTCTTTTAGACAGCAAGAGACAGAAATTCAGACATACCTCTGTCCCCAGGCAAGAACAGGTTTACATCCAGCTCTGGATCAGGATCTCATGTATTTATACATATAACCTCATGGTAACCCTGTGAAGTGGGTCCTCTAAGCAGCACTGTTTTACCAATGCCGAAAGTAGACACAGAGCTGTGAGGTAACTTGTGCACACTCACTTGGACAAGTCAGATTTGACCCTGGAAGTATAGCTTTGAAGTCATGCTTTCAGGGATCAGGAGGGGTTGCAAGTTGTTAATATGAATCTTCCTGTCTGCTCACCCAATCCTCAGAAAATCTCAGAGGCACTAGAGAGCAGTCCCCTGGTTCTGGTCCAATATTTGAAGGTTCTCCTATGCCAGGCCAGTTGACCACTTGGCAACCCCTGGCTGAGGTTGGTGATACAGGCATTTTGTGGTGAGTGCACAGGGTCTCATGGAAGTCACAGAGCCAGGAGAACTGAAATCTGAACCAAGAGCTGCAGAGCTCCAAGACCAAACTCCTTCCTGGCCTCTGTAGGACACTCCCCATGACCTGACTACCTCCTGAATCGAATCGCCTAGCACAGACCTGGACCTGGGGCTGGGCTCCAGCCAGGTGGGTGGACCAAGCTTTCATAATTCCTTCAGCTCAGTGGGGCTAAAGGGCAAGGATCTCACTGTACCCATCACTTCTGTGCATGGTCGATTGGGAACAAGGCACATGGAGATGGTGTCAAGAGCTGGGTGGAGGGTCCAGGTCTGGGTGGCCTGCCTGCTCCTAGCATTCCCTGCCATGGCCACTGGTAAGACTCTCATGCTGGGCCTTCAAGGTAGGAGCTTCTGGGTGGTGGGAGGATTTAGAGGAATGGGTCAGAAGAAGGACGGGGGAGAGGGGGGGGAAGAGGGGGGAGTTGGTGAGTAGCCCGCTTAGAGAGGGGCGCTTCAACTGGAAGGAATATCAGAGATGGTCCAGCCATTGGCTTTAGCCTCACCAGCTTGTTTGTTCCCCAGAGTCACCCAGCCAGTATCGTTCAATCTAACAACCACTGCTATCAAGTTAAACTGATAGAGTACAACTGTTGTCTCTTGGGTTTTCAAGACTATAAATCTTTACAGGAGCAGTCAGCCTCATCCTTTTCACATGGAACATCTGTAAACCAATGACCTAGAGGCTTAGATACCCAATGTTTATCCCAGTGTGCCATTAGAGCCCCTTTGTTGCTCTCTAACAGGTGAGCAATCTGAGGCTCAGACAGGGCAAGTGACTGACCCAAAGCCACAAAGCAAGTCCGTGGGTTCCCAGAGAGCTTGGTTACTTTGCTTTGGTCCTAAATTTCACCTGAAGGCAGTGGCAATGATGGCCAGCCAGGGAGGAGGAAGATCAGGATGATAATGAGACTCTTCTCACGGAACTGCGGGGCAGATGAAGAGAATCATGCCTGACACAATAGGCATGAAAACCTCCTTCCCTCATGAGTGCATCTGCCACCCCCAGGCCTGGAGGAGGCTGCAGACTCCTTCCCAACTCCTCTTCTCTCCCCTCAGAACACGGAGTCTCTCAGCCTGAAGTGGACACAGCTCTGGGTCGTGTGCGAGGCCGGCAGGTGGAGGTGAAGGGTACAGCCC